GTTAAAAATAATATAGCAAAGGACAATGTTTGACATTGACTTTTGTTTATAGTCATAGCAAAACATAAGACTATTATATTGAGAATTCTATCAGATGATACCAAATTTTATTCAGGGTATGTAAACCTTTTTCTCCAACGCGATTTCTCGAAACATCAATTACATTGATAATGTTCTTTCACATCTCTTTAATGATTAATCTTTTACCATTACACAATACATATATTTGGTCAATGTTCTTCAATAACATAATCGGTACCCCCTTTTAAAAACTATTTTATGGTTTGAATCCCCTAACATTTGATTTCATTAATAAGAATTGAACTGTTATCTAATCGTCTTCAACAACTACATCTAAATATGTTTGGCATGAAAAATGAGAACTTAAGTACTCTTTTTTACCTCTTAGAATAAGGAATATGACAAATTCATTTGTCATTTAACAAATTCGATTGTGGGTGCTAATAATGCACTATCCTCAAAAAAGAATAATTTTTCATGTTCTCTAATAGGTTTGGATAAGTAAAGTCCACTATACTCTTAAGGGGGTAACTTGTGTCAAGCATCAAGAATTCAAGCGAGATTTCAACGTGAGCAGTTTCATCGATCACATGTCCAAGTTTTCCATCTTTGACTTTGCTTATCAATACAGAAAAAGATTATGTGTCCCTATCAGTGCAAGAACGTGTAGATAAATGCAATCTCATATTTTTAGCTAACCTATAAACTTTACATTACAATTACATTTGTGAGAATTGGTGGCAGCACCCACAATTTCCTCTCTCTATGCTATGAGTAGACCTGAAAGAATTTGGATAAAATCACCTCCGAGTATAGCTGTTTTCCCTCCGAAAGGTTCATTTATGAAGTTATTATTAAAAAATCTCATTACATCTCTCATTTTTCTAAAAAACTTAGTGGGTGACTCATGGTACTTGTCACTAATAATATGACGAACAACTTTTTCAGCAGATTCTCACATCTTGACTTAACAACCTCTTTCATACCTTCAATAAATTCTTTATCATCGGTTAATAACCTCAATGCTTCACATTATTCCTTGAATGCATAATGTAGAACATTGTTAACTGTCCTCAAGCGCTTATAATTTGTACATCCTTGTTGGACATTTAATACTTCTCACGTAGTATAACTCTCTAGTTTATGTAAGCACGTATTGTAGTCTGCCTATTGACGGTCGTTGTTGCCTTTGAACTATTTCCACACTTTGTGGTTGTACATAAAATATTCTCGAAACTCTTTGCATACGTCAAATTTTATCTCGCATTATATTTTGTATTGAAAATCATCCAAGCTTCAAACATTGAGGCTTTATCAATAATTTCTTCGACAACATCTTTTAGTTTTTGTTAGTGTCTAAAGGTTATGAATTTTAGCCTTGGGTTATAAAAATTCAATCTCAGTACTGATCACTACCTTTGTTGTATATCAAAAGAGAGGATTATCCAAGAGGCTTCACATGCAGATACGTAATGACAATCAGACTACTTATTTGTTTCAACAATGCCAAAGTTAGATTGGGTAACTGCAACAGTTACTTTATCTAGATCTTTATTTACATATTTAAAGAGATATCTGATTGAATTAGATTTATTTCAATGTTCAATGTTGTTTGATCTTGAAACCTCATCAAGAGTTGTGGGTTGTATGTCACAACAATTCGATTATCCAACTCGATATTCTTTTTCATTATATTCTGGTGACCTCTAAGGTTCTTCTTTTGTATATCAGGTAGTTATTTCCATCAAACGATGTCTTATCAAGAAACTTTTTGGGAAAATGTTTCATAAATTTATCATTCTCCATATATAGAGATCTAGGATCATTTATGCTACATGGATCATGCATCAATAATCGAGTTACGAACTCATAAAATCTGAGATATTTATCTTTATTATGAACCTCTACACATGTCACACGATCAATTGACTGAAGCGATTGAAGTTTATTCCTCTAGTGTAACCATATTAAGATATGTGCATGAAGCAAGCTTCTCATTTGAAATTCAAAAGAGTACAAACATGCACAAAATCATTACATTCAAATGACAATATTTTAAATTGAATGTCCATTTAAATTGTTTTTATTATACAATATCAAATATTTAAACAACTTAATTTTTTTTATGTTATATACTCCCTCCGTCCCCCTAAGATGTTCTCATTTTGACTTTTGGTGGTTTTTAAGTAGAGTTGAAAAAAGGTGAAAGTTTACCATAATACCCTTAATGAAAAATGGGTAGAGTGTATTAAATGAGGTGGGTGAGGTGTAATAAATAAAGTGGGGGTAGTTGTGGTATTTTAATTGTTAAAAAATGAAATGAGAAGATCTATTGTAGACAAAGAAAAAGGGCTATTGAGAAGATCTATAAAGGACAGAGGGAGTACCATTTAAATTTCACACACACACATAAAATCTAGGTTTACTAAATTATTACAAATATATAATTCTTCTCTTCCCCTGAATTCAAAAAATATACGACAAAAACATTAGTGATTTTATTATTCTTCTCCCCTGCATTTATTTAACAAACTTAGATTTCCGATCTTGTAATTTTAATATAAAAAAATAATGATTCTTCTTCGCCAGATTAATTTACATTAACGGAAATATATGATTTTAATTTCTATGATGCATTAATGTGATTCTTTCTCTCCTTGGCCCTTTGCACTAATTAAAAGTGGACTCTTTTTTCTTGTATTATTAAAAGTGTGAAAACATAAATTAACAATCATATGATAAGAAATATAAATTTTACAATACATTAAAAATATAATGATTATTCTCCCTCGTATTATTTCAAAAATTATGTGAATGCAAAAAAAAATTAGTGATTCTATGATTTTAATGAAATTTTACAAACTATTTCACAATTTTTATTCATTTTTTTGCTTTCTTTTTTAAATATTCAATCATTTAAGTG